AAGCACGTCCAGAAGCACGTCCACCCCTAACAGCTCCGGACATACTGGCCACTCACGACGTTTGGAAACGACAAAGCTGACACTCAAGGAATTTCCGGGAATCTACCCTGGGCCGTGACGTTGAAGACCAGGCCGACCAGGACCTCCTGGCTTCTGGTCCAGCGTACCCTTCTGCACCTCCATGATGCCCCCCAACGTTTGAGATGTTTCGTATTTTTGTATAAGAAAGTGTCTTCATTCCTTCATTTGGAAAGATACGGATATCAAAAGTATGGCTGGCTATAAACAAAATACGCGAGCCATGGGGTGTCGGGAAATCCAATTTTACGCTAACGCCACCATGAATTTCATCTGTGACCGTCTGTGGGAAGTAACCTTTCTAGTCTCTCTACTCCGTAACTCAGTCGTCTCTTACTCCGCGCAAGTAGCCCGGGGCTGAGGTCAGAGAAATGGAATTGGGAGACTGTACCCCCAGGTCTACACCAGGAGCCTTTCTGCTCAGACCCCAACTTTTCTGCATGTGTATTTGTTTTTACATATGCATACGTATGTGACATTTTCCAGCGTAAACCCAGTCCAAATTCTTGGGTCTTATTTTGACTACTTGGGTTAGAACATCTATTGACATTTTTCACGTACAAAATATCATCACTGCATCAATACCAAAAGCTCTGAGGCCATCCTAAGATTGCTTATCCTCTCACACGGAGGTGAGCACTTGGCTTCCTGAGAAAAGTTTTCTTAACTCTTCAGGAAAAGAAGAGGAAGCTCTCTTGAGTCACGTTGAGAATGATTCATTTTACTATTGCGCCCCCTACTGCTGCCTGAGCTCAGATTCACTTTCTATATCTGTAGACCACAGAAGAGAAGCGAAATTTGGAGAAGTAGCAATTAGAGTGATTTTTCCTGTTATTTTCTTTTGCATGGAATGGAAGAAAGTGTGTTCCCTAGCATGAGTCACAAGACCCCATCAGCTTTATCTCTCACCATTTTGCCCTAGGAACAAATTATATTCAGCCAATCTGAATAATTTGCTGTCCTCCCTAGGGAGCCTTCTGCCCACTATGTAACCATCACCATCCCCTCTTGTCTATTTAAAGAATTTCTACTCTTTCTTGTAATATCGGCTGAAGCATTATCTCTTCCCCCGAGACTTTACCCTCTCTGGGTTTCTGTTTTCTTATCTGTAAGGAGATTAAGTCTAATGCCTGCTCATTATCCGATGATTCTATACATTTTTATCGGTACCTCCTTTAAGAACCTCAAAATAATGACACATCAGTTCAACACTTCAGATGTTTCTTTTCAATTCACACAGAATCGCTTATGAAATGTAAATTCCATTGCATTAAGAATCATTTATTTGCATGTCTGTCATTTAAAAAAAAAGAATTTCTAAGAACTTGTTAGATTACATTGGGACACATTTAAATTGAGCTAATCTGTGACAAGACTTTTCAGGCCAAAACATCTCTTTTTCTCCCTAAATGATACAAAGAAAGTCCAAGTTCTAGCCTGAAACTTCGTCAAGAAACTGAATTCTGATTCTGACCATCAATGACACAGAACTGGTCAGCTCACTTGCCAAGTACCTCCACTTCTGTTTTTCCCAGCAGTAAAGTGATAAGAATGTCAACCTTTAAACTGTGAGAATTGCTGGAGAATTATCACTAAAAGCTCTCACATCTATAAAGTTGTGTCCAAGGAGAC